CCGCCGCCCGCGGTCCGGCCAGCGCGGGGCCGCGGGGCCGCGCTCGCCCGTGGGTGCGGCGCGGGGGCTCCTCCGCCCCCGGCCCCAGCCCGCGGTCCCCGCCCCCGGGCGCCTCCGCCGCCGACGGCCCGGCGTGATGTCACCGTCCCCCGTCGTCGGGCATGGCCCCCGGGGGAGCTCGGGGAGGGTCCCTGGCCTCCGTCCGGCGGTTAGGAAGGCCGACCCGGCAGTCCGGGCGATGGGGCTCTCGAGCTCCCCCCGCAGAGCACCCCGCCCCCCCTTTTCTGTAAACCCTCGGGCGGCCAAAGGGAAGGGAGTGAAGTCCGTGGACAGGTGACATGGGGTGGGCGGCTGTGCCGGGAAGGGGCTCCCCGGCCGTACAGGTGAGGCCCGGCCCGGCGGGCCCGGCGGACAGGTGGAGGCGCTGGCCATGTGGCCTCTGGCGAGAGGGACAGGTGTGCGCGGTGAGGGTCGGGTTTGGAAGACGAGAGTAAACTCATTATGGAAAATCGGCCTACTTGATAGTTACAGTTATGGGTTCACCTCTATTAAGCTCTTAAAGTAGGGGATGGGGTTTTTCCCCCCGGAAATGCTGAGAAATTGCCCTGAACCCCCTCTCCCCCCAAGGGTAAGTTAAAATGGTAGAAACAGGCGTGACATCAGAGACACACGGACCCGTCTGTGTATTTAAGACTGCCAACACAGAACCACCTTTGCTTAAGCCACTTTCATAAAATCCGGATTCGCCAGATAAGTTCAGAGAACCCAGCTTGGTTCCCCAAGGTATTTTTGAGGATGAAAAGTAAGGAAGCATCTGGTTTTGTGATAAGCCTTAAAAGGCAATGCGGAGAGAACTATCCCAGGGGGTGCAAGGAGGTGGATGCTGTGGTGACAAGTGAGGCACCCCAACAGCACTCAGTGATATTTTGTATCAGAACTGCACCTTCTCCCATTGTCCACGTTTTCACTGCTCCACGCAGCTTCTCCGAATTTCCCTGACATCGCTGCCTTATGGTGAATGGTTAAGATGTAGAGCTATAGTTTGGGTTTTGAAAGGGAAAACCAGCAAAATTTCTCCTTTATAGAGTTTTTCCTGTTGACATCTTTGATTCATACTTTTGCAAAAAAAAAGTTCCCAACAGAGGATATAACGTTATATTCTATTTTGGAAGCAGAGAAAGGACGGTTATTTTTTTCCCAGAAGACAACTAAATGAATTAAAAAGTCAACCCCAATTACAAGGCTAATACATTCCCTTCGAGTAATTATAGTTGAGAAAGAACTCTGTTTGCCTCAGATAAACCTCTCATTATCATTCTTTTGATATCATTATCTGGGGAGAAAGCCAGGAAAAGAATTCTCCTCCCATTTTGCAGACTTAGGGGAGATCTAGGGTACGTTTCTGATACACGTGATTTCAGAGGGTAAGTTTGTTAGGTAACGACTTACTTGCTTCCTCAGTCTCCTTGTCACATTTGTAAGGGTAGCACCTGCCCAGCTCACCTCAGACCAGCTCACGGTGTGCATTTTCATCCCTGTGGCCATTCGTTCCACAAATATTTATTCGGTGTGGGCGTATCATGTGCTGGGTACTGCAGAGAACAGGAGAGAAGGCCCTGTCTCTTGGATCTGATGTTCTGGAGGGAGGGAGGGAGGGAAGGAGGCAGGCATTGACCAGAAACAGCAGAACTCGGTTAAGTGGACCGTGGCTGGAGCATTTGGAGGACAGGAAGCCGGTGGAGGCTGGGGCGTGGGTAGGGGGGGCACACAGGCAGTCTGAGCAGGGGGCACACAGGCAGTCTGAGCAGGGG